GTATAGGTAGATTAGGGAAACAAAAAAAATATGAGTATTTTACAAAACAAAGAGTAAAATAGCAGACCTAAATCTGACTATAACAAGAATAGAATGTATGAAAACAGCATTAATAACAGCATTATCAGGGAGGTGAATAGAGTAAAGAACCAACAAAAGGGCAGGGGTTATCACATTGGATAAAAAATAAACCAAGATCCAAATGTATGTTATCTAGAGGAGACACAGTTTAGATTCAAAGGTATAAATTGATTGAAAATAAAAGAATAAAATAAGATCTGTCAGGTAAACAGCAGCCATAAAAAAGAGGGTTGTACAAACATCAAATAAAATAAAGGTTAAAACATAAAACATTAGAGATAAAGGGGCATTTTATAGTAATAAAAGTATCAACATATCAGAAAAATACAATTGTACACATAGGAACATCTAATAACAGAGCACCAAAATACATGTATCAGAAACTGAAAGAATTAAAGAAAAAAGACAATTCAACAATAACAGTTGGAAATTCAACACCTGAAGAATTAGGCAGAATATTAACGAGAAGACAGAAGACACAAACATTATAAATCAACTGGACATCTATACAGAGAGTTATGGAATACTCTACCCAATTGCAGCAGACACATTCTTCTCAAGTACACATGAAACATTCTCCTGATAGCCCAAAAGTTGGGCATGAAATAAATCACAAGAAATTCAGAAGCACTGAAATAATATTAACTAGGTTCTCCAACTACAATGGATGATACTAAAAAATCATTTTAAATAAGATGTTTGAAAACCCCCAAGTATGTGAATATAACCAATGGATTAAAAAAAAAAAAAGATCAGAAAGGAAATCAGAAAATACCCAGTAATAAATAAAAATGAAAATCCAACATATCAAAACATATGGAATGCAACTCAAAGGAAAATTTACAGCTGTAAACATCTACATTAAAAAAGGGAGGTATAGGGGCCTCCCTGGTGGCGCAGGGGTTAAAGACAGCGCTATCAACCTATTGACATCACTGCAGCAAGAGTGTGATCCCCATCCCCAGCCAGGGAGCTAACCCACGTGGCACAGCAGACCTCTCCTGTCTCAATCGCTGCTCCCCTCTGCAGTGTATTTCAGTACATCTGCCTGTTCTGCTCCCTACTCTCTCTGGTGAATGAATCCTCTCACCCTCCTGCACCTCTGGCTTACATCCCAGTTCTTGTATGCATAAATAATAAATCTTTAAAAAAATAAAAAAGGAAACTGTAAAATCAATAACCTAATCTTCTACCTGAAGAAGCTGGAAAAGATGAGCAAATCAAACTTAAAGCTAGCTAAAGGAAATAATAAAGGTTAGAATGAAGAATTTAAAGCAAGAACTCAGATAGAGAGTTGTACACCCATGTTCATAGCAGCATTATTCATAATAGCCAAAAGATGAAACGATTTAGTTGTCATTGATGGATAAAAGAATAAAGAAAGTGTGGTATATATAATGAATTTTAGCATTAAAAAGAGGAAGACAATTTCTGACACATACAGCAATATGGATGAAGTGTAAGGACATTACGCTATGTGAAATAAACCAGTTACAAAAAGGACAAATGCTATATGATTCCATTTATATGAGGTACCTAGCATAGTGAAATTCATAGAGATGGCAAGTAGAATGGTGGTTTGCCAGGACATGGGGGAGGCAGAGGGAGCTATTGCTTAATGGGAGAGTTGCAGTTTTGCAAGATAAAAGTTCCGTGGATGGATGATGGTATGGTTACACAACAAAGTGGACATATTTAATAAACACAGAACTGTGTACTTAAAGACGGTTAAAATGGTAACTTTTAGGTTATGTGTATTTTACCACAATTTTAAAAAAGATTAGAGGACAGTAATGAAATAGAGACTAGAAAAACATCATAGGAAATAAACCAAACCAGAAGAAAGCTCAACAAAATTGGCTAACTTTTAGATAGACTCACCAAGAAAAAAAGACTGAAATTAGGAGAATCAGAAATGAAAGAGAAAACATTATTACCAATTTTATAGAAATAAAAGGGATTACTAGAGAATATTCTGAATAACCACATACCAATAAATTAGATAACTTAGATGAAACAGAAAATTTAGAAACACACAAAATACAGAAACTGACTCAAGAAGAAATAAAAGATCTAAATAGACCTGTAATGAGTAAAGAGACTGAATAAGTAATAAAAAAAACTATCTGCAAAAGAAAGTACGGATGGTTTTCCATCTGAATTCTATCAATTATTTAAAGAAGAATTAATATTTATTTTTTACAAACTCACCCAGAAAATAGAGCAGAATGAACACTTCCCAAATTATGTGAACTGATAAATGCTACTACATGGATGAACCTTGAAAACACACTAAGCAAAAGAGTTTAGTCACAAAAGACCATGTATTACATTGATATGAGTCCATTTATATAAAATGTCCAGAACAGACAGATCTATAGGGACAGAAAGTAGATTAGGGGTTGCGAGGGGATGGAGTGATCAGGAAGGAAGAGCTAGAGTATGAGGTTTCTTTCTGGGATGATGAATATGTTTTATGATTGATGATAGTGAGGACTGCATAGCTTTGTGAATATACTAAAAATCATTTCTTTGTACATTTTAAATGTGTGAATTACATGAGATGTTAATTATATCTCCTTAAAGCTATTACCAAAACAAGCATTCCACTTTTGCATATTATATATAAATATGGTGAGCTCTCACATATTTCATTTGAAACAAAAGTTTCCATGACTTGTAAAAGTCTTGTCAACCTATTCCTTCATTCCGGCAGACTTGTACTGAGCACCTGCTGTGGGCAGAATCTTGGGCTGGTGTGGGAGTCAGACAGGGAGGGGTACAGAATTGATAGTCCAGCACCTGCCCCTGGAGCTTACAGTCAATTGTAAAATGGAGTTATAACTCTTATTTTTGCTAAAGTTAAAAGCCTGCACAAGATAAATGAACTTCTTGTGTAATCCACATAAAGGAAGAACCAGGGTTAGCACTGTGTTGGAAAGTGAGAGACACTGAGGTCAGGGACCTTCTGCCCCCACATTTAAAAGAGCTCTGGTCCATTTGGAGAGAGGGCAGTATGCGCACATGCGCACACACACACACCCCTTCACCACCCTCACCTCTGGCTCACCATCCACTGGCCTTTGGATACTGTCATGCTATATGCTGGGGGGGGGGGCGCGGGGGGCACTGTCACACTTCTCCCATCAATCTGTCGGCTCCACACAAGTCCTGCTGGTCTCAAAAGTTTTCCTAGGCTGCCAGCCTAGCATAAGCACACTTCCTGGGAACCCCAAGAGCTCCTCTTGGTGTCTGAGTATCTCCTGCCTGGCCAGGGTAAAAATTCCAATTCTTTCACCGACCAACTCCATGATCCTCTGTGAATTCTTGACTCACATGCAGCATCGTATAAAATAAAACTAACAAGGGCACTTAACACAACAGGTAGTTGTGAGCATTGACAGAAATAATGCTTGCCGTACACTTAACACACCCTTGTCTCCTTAAGTAGGGAAGTCCTGCTCTGTCCACTTCATAAGCTTAGGCAGGAGATGGTAGAGGCAAGTTTTGTCATGTTGAGCATGACATTGCTCAGTGCCCCTACATTGGGGGCTTAGCTGGGGAGGGCACAGGATTGCTGACTGGGGTGGAGGGCTATGGACACAGCCTTGAGGACCAAGTGGATCCTTGGTGGCCTATTAGTCCCTCATCCTGTCCGGAGAACCCCTCAAGTAGAAGCCTCACCCTCTGCTGAGATCCCCTCATACCAAGGACCCCTTGAGGGGTACATAGAGCCCATTGAAGTGTGGATCTGGAGGACAGCCACCAGGGGGTCAGCTCCCACTATTTAGGTTCCAGCTGGCCTCTCCTGACCAGGGGTGGGGGAGGCAGAGAGCACTGGTGTCCATGAATCCCTGAGGAATATGAGGAAAGTGTAGGTTCTGGGTGGGCCCAAGATTCTGTACTTCCGATGAGCCCCCAGGCAATGTTGATGCAGCTGTGCCATGAGAAGTACCTAACGCATGGCATGGCCATTTCTGAGAAGAGCAATGAGGCAACAGTGCATCTTAGCCTCCCATTGGCTCTACAGGGACCTGGCCCCACCCAACCACGCCCTCAATTCCAACATCTGGAGAGTAAGACAGCATGGATTTTCTGAGTTTCCAAGATTCCATTTCCATTACATATGTAAAGTAAAAGAAGTGCCACATTATAAAAACATTGGAAAATAGGAATAATAGGAAAAAAATCACTGATAATCTCATACTGTGTTTAAAGCAACAGTTAACCTCACTCCCCAGGATTCCCAAGCCAAGTCTGTCTGAGAGTCAGGGGTCACCCGTGAGTGGGGTCTGTGCCAGCAGCCCAACTTTGTCACAGTGAAGCACGGGATGAGAGACAGGGTTGCTCTCCAGGCCCCTGTCCCACCCCAAAAGATGCCAAGTCCCAAAGTGCCCAAGATCTCTTCACCCAGACCTCTCTTGGGGGCAGGACCCCCCTCCCTTGCTCTCTCACCACAGCCGGCTCAGAAGGATGTACTGTTGCAGAGCGGACAGAGGTGAGACTGGGGGAGGGGGGCACACATCTGGATTCCTGGCCCAGAGCCCACATTCCTTCCATGTAAGTGTGAGAAGATGGGGTCTCCAGAGAGCTGTGAGGAGGCTGCTGGCTCCCGTCCTGCTCCACTGTAATAGCACTCACCCTGGCTGTGAGACTGCGGGGGACTTGAAGGCACAGAACCTCATTTTGGGGTCCTCCACCCAAACTGACTAACCAGTCCTAGCCCAAGCTGGGCCTCTGTCCCATCTACACCAGCCAGTCTTGGCTCAGAAACACCAGAGGGAAGGAAAAGGTGGAAAGCAGAGGGCAATGGGCCACATGCTTGTCCCTAGGGGACCCTGCCATCTGCTTTATTCTCAGAGGTCAGCCCACAGGTCAGCAGGGAGCCCATGAGCCCCACCTGGGCCAGGCTGTCTTACCTGGGGGCAGTCCTTGATGTAGTGTCCTTTGTTGAAGCACAGGTGGCACAGGTAGTTGGGCGGGGGCCGCTTGCTGGGCTTGCGGGTCTCGGAGGTGAGGGTCAGGTCAGAGAAGTGCTCAGTGAGGGAGCTGAGGCCATCCGCGATATTGTTGAGGGAGCCATAGGGCGAGGCACTCTTGTACACGCTGCTGCTCAGTGCCTGTGGGGGACAGAGGCTGTGAGGGACCCCAAGCCCGGGTATATGCACTTTTGCAGCCATGACCTTGGTGGAGTTTCCACACACCAGAGATGAATTCAAAAGGACCCTTCAGCTGCCACAGGCCCTGGCCTTCTGGAGCAGAGTACAAACCCTAATTCTACTTCTGCATCTTCGGACAAGTCAGCTAGCCACCCTGGCCCTGTCTGGAAAACAGGAAGAACAACAGGATTTCTAGAATGTTAGAGTCAAGAATGTGAAGCACTTTCTCTCCTCCAGCACTTAGGAAACAATCAGTGACAGTGATCTTTACTTTCTTACATGCTGCCTAGACGTAAGGTACAGTAAGCAGGAGGCAAGGTATCGGGTTAGGGTGCTGCTACTTACTGGAGGAATGACTTTAGGCAAGTCACTTCGCTCTGAGCTGACTCAGTTTCCCCATCTGGTAAGGAAGAGGAATATTAGCATGCAGCATTGTACAGAAATGAAGACTGAAGTTCAGCACTTTACCTAATCTCCTGTGGCATGAGGCCCGTGTAGCCTGTCTAGGGAGCCCTCAACCAGGCCCTGACCAGCGCTCTGGGAGCCCAGGGAGGAAGTGGCCCACCTCTCCTACCTCTCCCACCTCCATTTGACAGGAACCAGATGTCTCGCCTGGCTTCAAAGCAGACATGGCCCAGGACCGCTCCTGGTGGATACAGCCTCTATTTATAGGAGTCACAGGCTCCGAGCAGCCAGGCACATAGGAATTTAGTGAGGTGGGGCCTGCAGTGAAGTTGGCAAGAAATAGCCATGGGCCCCTCTCCTGGGGTAAGCCAAGACTGGAAAGCAGCAGCATCCCGAGAGGATCAATGACAAGTCTAGACATGGAGCAGTGGAATCCCCTGGGCTCCAGCTCAGGTGCCCACCAACAGCATATGTGGACTACAGATTTGTCTCTAATAGAGAGACATGGCTTCATTCTTGGGAGTCCTTAGGTTAGTGGGGGAAGAGCCCCTGGGAAGAAGTTGCCTCCAGCTCCCTGATAAAGATGGGTCAGACAGCAGTCTAGGGTGAGAACAACCATTTCTGCTGAGTCCCCTCAGTGTGGGAAGGGGAGGGAGGTGAGCTGAGAACTGGCGTCAAGAGATCAGGTGCACTTCTTCCCAGGACAGAGCCCACCCATGCACACATCCTACTAGTTCCACCTCTAGGGGTCTGCCTGTCCCCTCCGAGAGAACACAGCCCTCATCATCTGAGTGCCACCAGCTCCCCGACACCCTGCTGTGTGAGTCTGGGTCAGCCCTTTCCCTCTGGGATCAGGAAGGAGAGACGCAGATAACCATATCCAGGGCAGCCCAGGCCTGACACACAGGCAGCCTAGAGTAACTGGGCACAGAACTCAGAGGCCCCTCCCAGCCGCCTCTACTGTCCCGCTGCCCAGTGCTAGTGCTACCATCCAGCCCAGGATGGAGGAAGAGATCACCCAAGTCTGCAGTCAAACTGAGGGTGACTCCAGCTTTAAGATGGCCCAAGACAGAGGCAGAGGGACCCCCCCCCCGATCTCTGGAGGTGTGGGAATCGATGATGGACACATTTTAGGTGTATGGGGAGGATGGAAATGAGATTAGAAAACAGTAACGTACACTGAGCACTTACTATGCCCAGGTACTGAAACTTGACCCGTATCAAGCAGCTGATGCTCAGAGCCCTGAAGACATCAGCCCCATCTTACAGATGAGACGAGTATGTCCAAACTTGTATTGAATGAAGTGGGGTACTTTTAACAAATACACTTTTCTGGCCCCCACCTCAGGCCTCCCAAATTAGCCACCTGGGCCTGAAGGGCAGACCCTGTATTGTTTTACTGTGGTAAAATATACATAATATAAAACCTGTTATAATTTTTAAGTGTACAAATCAGTGGCATTAAGTACATCCACAGTCTGTGCAATCATCATCGCTGCCTCCAGAAGCTTTTCATCTTCGCAAACTGAAACTGTCCCCATGAAACACTAAATGCCTCTTTCCCACCTCCCCCCCCCCCCCAGACAAATCTACATGCTTAAAGCTCTCCCAGGCAGCCCAAGCACAACCCAGCCTAGCCCCACCTGGCCCTGGGAGCACCTGAGCCTTCCAACCACTCAGGTAGCTCTTCTGCTTGACTCCCTACCCAAATTGGCCTGAGGGAGGGCAGCAGCATCCCAGCCTCCCAGAGCAAAGTTCATCCAAACAAGAAATCTGAAGCTCCAAATGGTGTGACTCACCCCATGGCTGGGAAATGCAATTTCACAAATAACAGCCCTCTTTCCCCCCTTTCTTTCTTTTCTTTTTTTCTCTCTTTCCTTTTTTTCCTGGATAAGATTTAAGCAAGTCCACAGGAATCAGGACTATTTTGGCAGCAAACTGTCAAGAGGAAGGGGAAGTTTGGTGGGTGCCAGAAAGTGCACTAATTACACCGTGAAAAACCTCTCCCCCGTCTTGTGGCCACGCTCCCCTGCCCACGGGCAGCCCCGTGGTATCCCTGGGTAGCCAGAGGCCTCTGAGCAGCTGCTCTCTCCCTGGCAGCTCAACACCCCATCCACAACCAAACCAGGGTCATAGTTTTACCCCTGGCACACGCAGATCCAGGTCAGAGGAGGGAGGCCAGTGCTCCCTTCTTTCCTGTCTCTCCCACCTCCAGCGTAGTCCAGCCTGTCCTCCACGGTTGTGGACTCAAGAGGACACCTCCTCAGAGCCGAAAGGACAGAGAGCGGTCAGCTGACCCAACCTCATGCTCGCTTTACAGGGGAGCAAACTGAGGACCAGAGAGGCCCAGCATCACAGACCGGGCACACAGCAGGCCGAAGAGCCAGGAGTCCTGCTTGCGGGTGGGTGGGGCAGGAGCTGCTTGTTCTGTGAAGCTCGAAGGAGCTTAGGCCATGGAGGTGAAAGGTGAGCCCAGTTTCACAGCCTATGGGGACTGGATAGGGTGGAGGCCAGGACGCGCAGTTTCTCCCTCTGCCTGTGGAGCGGGCCTGACTTCTTGGGTTTCCCACGTGTTAAATGTCAAGTGGAGAGGAAAAGGAGGGCAAGCTTTCCTGCAATCTTGCTTTCTTCAGGTCAAAGCACCCAAGCCTTGAAAACACACCCCCCAAAGCCCAGCACGCAGAGGGCACTTCATCAACAGGAGCTCCATCTGTCCATCTGCAGCTGGAGATGGCTGGACAGTCAGCCCCTAACTCTGCAACACCCAAGCCTCTCCCCCCAGGATCCCTCCAGCAACTGCTTTTCCCCTTCTAGTTCTGCACTGGGCATCCACTCCATTATGCTCTCTCTGTGTCCATCCAACCCTCCTCAGGGCCTTGCTCCTGATCTGGTTCTGACTCCAGGGGTGCGGCCTTGAATGCACCCCTTCTTCTTACTTAGGCCAGGGTCTCCAAAGGCAGTATGAAAAGCACAGATTCAGGTGCCCTCAACGTCCCACAGACCACAGAGGCCCTGGCCTCCTCCAGAGGGATCTAGTCCTGTCTCTCAATGCTGTAGGCTTGGGTGGGGACCCCTGTGACTCCCTTTCTCTTGTCTGAGGGGGGCTCTGGAGTCTCTGTCCATCTCTTTGCAGGCGACACCTGTGCATCTCTCCACAGGCTGTAGGTCCCGAAGGCAAAGATTCTGCACCCTGGGTCATCTGCTCCTGCTCCTTTATGCCATGGCTGTCTTGGTGCAGGGAAGGATCTGGGAGTCGCCCGTCCACCATGGACAAATGAGCTAAGGGATGTCTTAACGCCTTGAAGGACTTAGGTTGGGATGTCTGAGTTCCTGTGGAATAAGTTGGAAGGTGTCCTTACCCCGAATTAAGTTGCTCTGGGCCCTGGTTATATGTTAGGTAGAAGCTCTGGGCCATCGGAGTCCATATCACCAGCATGGAAGAAGCAATGACGGAGGAAGGTCCAGCGTGGACCATCCCCCCTGGGTCAGTGATCCCAGCAGCTAGCAGGAAGCATTAGGGAGCAGAGTGTGAGACATGTGCCTAAGGGACTTCAACATTCTAGCTTGGCTATTGGGGACAGTTAAGAGGGAAGACACTAAAATGCATTCTCATCCCAGTTGTGCCATGAATTTGACTGGATCCTTTCCTTTCTTAGTTCTCTTAGTACCTGGCAAGAACACTATTAGGATGGGCATTATTGGCCACATTTTATAGAGATAGAAACTGAGGCTCAGAGAGCCCGAGAAACTTGTCCAAGGTGGGCAGCAGCTGAGGGGAGATTAACACTCAGATCTGCTGGCCTGTAATATTCCTCTGAGGGACACAGAGGAAAAGGGCAGATGTGGACCACTCTCCTTGGCAGAGAGGCCCTGAGACTCCATATTGCCAAGTCCTTGACCCTGGCAAGATCAAGCACCTGCTTCTCTGGGCTGCGTGGTGGTGGTGGGGGGGGCCTGGGGTTGGTGGTTCTGCAGAGGAACTTGGGGTGCAGAAAGAGAGATTCTCAGGCCTGATTCAACCTGTCAAGTTGTTATCCACCTCCCACACCTCCTAAGAGAGTAAGTGGGCAGCCAGGAGTTAGTGTAGATGGACAGAAGCTTCCGAGAGCAGCCTAGAGAAAGAAGAGACAGATACAGAGAAGAGAGGTGGGAAAGCAGGCAGAGATGGAAGCAGCACCCCTGGGAAGGATGCGGTAGTCAGGCAGGCAATGAGAAGGGAAGTGTCCAAGGAAGGCTGGTGGAAGCAAATGCTGAGTCCTGCCCCCCAAGCTCCTTAGGAGGATTCAGATTCTTGTCCCCAGCTCTGTGGGGATTCTTTCATCAGATGAACAACTGCTTTCTTATCCCCAAAAGACATCCTTTGACACCCCTCCCCGCACACACACACAAATGCACGTGTACGCAGGCACACACACATATACACCCAAATCCTCTCTTTGGGACAAGAAACTATTCATCCATGACTCTACCCTTTCTCCAAGGGGCTCTGCACTTCACCACCCCTTGAGGATTTCTGGGAATCCAGTTGCCCCCTCCCAACCAAATATATACACACA